GCATGTGTGGATGGATGTGTGTGATGGCGGAGAGCGGGGGGTGTACTCATAGTCGTGCATGCCGTAGTCGTTTGACCATTGACCTCGCATCCCTACAAAGCCGGGACGGAGCACGCCGGGTTCTCACCGGACCAGGCTCTCACATCACCAAGCGCGAAGCGCCGTGAGGTATTTGGCGAGTCGCATGAAGGGTGAGCTGCATCGTGCTAAGGGTGTTCGGCATCTTGTGCTTACTTCCTTGCGTACGGATGACAGCTACGTATGACTTAATTTATTTTCTGGTGCTTTCACTTCCAGAGACAGTTGTAAGCACTGTGTAACTGCCTCGAGGAAGCTTGACCATTTTAACACAACGTGGTGCGATCATCCCCCGTTGCGCGGAGTGAGGGTTCTCGACCCCGCACAACAGGGGGGGCGGGGGGGGGGGGTTACTCATGTTTTGAATGACTTGAGTGTTTAAACTGCGCGTCCTCCAGAGGACGGACCATTGTGCCCACAGGACCGATCACTGATGGTCAACCCAGGTGTGGCAAGGGGGTGGGGTTGCTGCATGACCTCCCATACCGTGTTGACTGCGGTGTCCTCTGCAGAAGGATCGGGTGTGTATTGGTGAAACACCAACAGCAGCCCCTACTTGCAAGAGCAGCAGGCACTACGTGGAAACATGCACATAAGAAAGGCAACCCCCGAGAGCTTGAGAAACAACACCACCACCCAAATGGCACACCCACGCACATGATCCCTGGTGTATGCATATGATCTTAGTGGAACCCGATTGACCTCCACCGATCACAGCAGTAACAACAAAGAGGGGCAGCGCTTGTGACTTGATGTGTTCAAGTCTGCTTGTGGTAATCGATTTCTTGTCGCTGTTCCTGATGTCATCACACAGAAAAAAACAACGCGAGATCTCTTTCCAGTAACATCTGCTTCTTCTTCCCTACACTTGGTGTTCTTCAAAGCAAAGCGAAGAACCGAACTTCGTGGCCATTCGTGCACTAGCCCCAAGCAACGTTAACGTGAAAGAAACATAAACGATGCGTTCATTTACTAGTTTTTACCCCGGACTCTGTTGGAAAGACACGAATTCCTTGTGCTACGGCGAGAAAAAGCACTGAAGAAATTCCTTCCAGAGTTCCTTCCAGAATTCCCATCCCAGCAGTCCCCACAGCAGTCTTTGCTCTTCATGACACAGCAGTTCATTTCGTTTCCTTTCGTCAAAACTAGTGCTCTAGAGACAACTTTTGGCCATTGAGGTCGATGCTCCACACCACGCCGACAGATGAGCAGAGCGCGCGTTACGAGAAAATCGAGAACAGCGAGGGGGTAGGCAGACTCTATCCCTAGCCCTAACCCCAACCCAACTTCCCCCGATTGTTAACTTAATAGAAAAACCTTGCGAAGGGTACTGCTGTACGCGTGGGGCTGCACGCGGAAGAGAGTCGGTGCAAGCCACGCACTAAACTGTCAGTATCATAGCATGTAGCAGCAAGCAGCTGCAGCTATGTATGTGTCTGGGAACCATCAACGTGGAATGCACACACACACACACAGGTATGTGCGGAAAAGAGAAAAGAAGACACACCAATGCATAACTCCAAGAATGCGTAAGCCTGTTGCTTGCTAGCTACCTGGGTGGGCGAGCATCACTCGCAGAGCCTCATTTTGCAGACGATACCCGAGAGCCTAATTTACAGACGATACCCGAGCATGTGTTCATGATTCCTCTCTATGAACTGCAGTTGGCCATTTTTCCCCTTTCCCTCTCGTCCTCCTACTACTCGCTCTCAGCTCTCCGTGTGTACCCAACCATCGTGAAGTGTTTTGCTCAACGTGCGGACCACACAGCAGCAGTCAGCATGGAAAAGTGGTCAGGGTTGTTCTCTACTTCTTTCCGAGCAATATCGCCGGAGCATCTGCTGTCTAGCACAGAAAAGCCGTGCCGCCCATCACTTTTTCCTTGGGACCTGGAACAAGTAACGGATAAGTCGCGGATTCGTCGCGGTAAATAGCCACCCTTCGTTCGTTTTCTCATGTACGGCCAATTGTATCAGCCGTGGTCTCCGTGTGGAGTACAAATGTAAGTACATTTCTGTGGGCTGCTTGCTGCATGCATGCATACATGCATGCATGCATGCATACATTACACAAAACCGCGTTTGTGGTGCCGCGCAAACAATTAAGGCCTGCTCGAAACGTGAATAAACGGCAACGCACAGCACGCGAGAGGAGAGCTGCGACAACAACATCACATGGTATCTACACGGTGAGGAGCCACAGCGCGGTCATCAAGCGACTTACTTACGTTGTTGTCTTGTGGAGGGACTGAGCCCGTAGCGTAGTACGGCGTCTTGAGGATGTGGTCTGGCACAAGCCTGGCGGGGCTGACTACTCCCGGCTCCACCGGCATCCGTTTCGTGTTGGCCGGGAAGGGGCTACTGCTACCGCCACTGCTGTTGCTGCGGGAGGGTATCTGAAACTGCGTCGCCCTAGCTCTATCCCAGCCAGCAGCGGTTGTCGTGGCAGGGCCAGCAGCAGCAGCAGCAGCAGCAGCAGATACGAGCCTAATCGCCGGAGAGTTAGTTACGCCGCGTTGCCTATGCATGAGTCCATGCTCCCCTGGCTGCTTATTATTGCCGAAGGCTGCTGAGACAACCGAACGCACACAACCACGGCAGCTCCCCGTATGTCTCATGGAACCCTACAAGCCAAGTAAGAGAGTGAAGCAGCCAACCTACACAGCAGTAGTGGTCGCTGCCCGCAGCAGACACACAGCAGCAGCATGAACAGGGGGTTGCGTGAATGCAACGCGGCTGCAGCCCATGTACCCACCCATCAAACAATTGATCATGTGGGTGGTCTTTGTGTTTGTTGCCCATGATTTTTCGTCCCCGCCATTCCCCCGACTGCTGTCGGCCCTAGGTGTGTGTGAAACGGCGACCGCAGGCTGCGCGAGGGGACAGCGAGAGGGAGAGGGCGAGCGGCGTCCACGCGCGTCCGGGAGAGGAAAAACGGCGGAGCGAGATGAAGCGAATATCGCTGCGCCGCGCCCTGTCTTTGCGAGTCGGCGGCGGCGGGGCAGCAGCCTCACGGAACACGGAAGGTTATGAGCAGAACCCCCTACAGCAACAGCAGCAGCAGCAGCAGCAACCTCTGGCGCCGAGGGAGGCTGCCGGCGAAGGCCCCGACGAGGGACACCGACAACAGCAGCAGCAGCCTGCGATGCAGCAAGCACCGGAGAAGAAAGCGGAGATGATGAACATTGACCCCGTCAGCAGCAACGCGTACTCGGAGGGCAGGTGCGCGAGAGAATTGTACTGCTGCTGCTGTCCCTGTTTGTTTGGCGCTGGCTTGTGCTCCAGAGTGTACAGAGAGACGGAGCACGAGGCTGGCTGGCTTCAGAGTCATAAAACCCCGCCCGCCCCATGCCCGCGGTGTCGTAAACGAATGGCCTACGTGCAGAGATCTATAGTCCACCCTCTGGCCTGGAGGGGTATTCTTTAGATGTTGGTTGCCCCCTCCCGAGGTTGTGCGTGCCGGCAGCATGATTCTCACTGCCAACACATGCACCAACGACACGAAAGAAAGAGAGACAGCGGCAGCAAGCGGGGAGAGGCTGGCGGTCTGCTGCGGACACTGCCTCCCCCCCTCGAAATTGAAAATGTTTGTTCTCGGTCTTCTTCTTCTCCCTGCCGGCCGCGGGTGTTCTTGCCTGTGGAAAGCATCTACCTTGGAAGAGAAGCAATGGCGGTTGTGTTGGTGTCGATTCCGGAGGGGTTGCCTTGTCATGCGGTGCTCTCTTGCTGAGGGAACTGACTGTCGGACCGACAAACCACATGCAATGGAGGGTCGTGAATATTGAATTGGGACACTTGCTGTTCGACAACTATTTTCACGCTGCTGTACAGACGCAGTGTCCATCCCCCTTGAAATTTGAAATTTGCTCGCAAGTGTACAATATAAAGCCTGCCTCCAATGTTCCATCTGTACACACTCTTCTGGCGGGCAAGGTGGTTTCCATACCATGCAAAACTTGGCACATTCTGTGTAGCCTGGTGCGTTATTGGGACGGGAGCCCAACAGCTTTGACACAAAGAAGCAGCTTGGCCTATGTATGTGCCTTGCCTTTGCAGGTGTACCCCTTACTCTAGCTTTAGTACTTAACGCGACTGCGCCATCCAATGTACTTCGTACAAGCAACCTCGCCCTTTTATCTAGGCCAACCAGAGACGATTGACCTTCACTAGACCACAGTAGAGTGCCACAGGCTTTGTGTTGCTTGTCCTTGGCTGCACGAACCGGGGGTGTCGTGCTGAGCCAAGCGCTCTCCGCTTGCATGCACGACAAGGAGGAAGGGACTGCTGCTGTAGTCTAGGCCGCAACGCCGAGCCTCTCAGCACGTTGGAGCAAAAGAACGCACAGAGAATGGGAGAGGTGCGTTGTAGATTGGCATGCAGGCAGGCAGGCAGGCAGGTATCACATTGACCACAAGAACCGCAGAGTTCCTCCTACTGCCGTGACGAAGAAGCAACACCTTCAAGAAGTCTCCCTTGGCTCACCCACATACACACTTCCAGCCCCGGTGGTCTAGTTGGTGTCCTCGAAACCTTCTAGAGGTCAGGTCAGGGGTTCGAATCCCGGCGTAGTAAGCGAGCTTTTCTTGCAAAGTGAGTTTTTCTCTTGCTTCCGCTTCTGGCCTAAATAGTGGATAGCGCTAGTTCGTCTGTACGCAGAGGGAAGAGAGTGCTGAACTCTTCTCGCATCAAAAATCGAAGGCAAAGTACCGCAGGAGAGGATGGTAGAGAGGGGCTCTTCTGTGTGACCACGGGTTGGAGTAAACGGCACTAGTGCTGTGAGCGCTGATTTGAAGTGAAGACCAAAAAAAAAAAAATTACAGCACATTTAGCCATGCTCGCTAATAACATGCACATACAGCACATGCATGTGAACATACACACACAGCCCATGTATGTGAGGAGGACGACTGAAGCGGAGATAACCAAGGTGTCGCGACCTCGCGCGACAACGCGCCGCGCCTGGATCTACGGACAGGAGCCATGTGGGAGGAACGAAATGCTCTCTTACATACATACTCTCGTACATACATACTTCAGGATGTTGCACGACCCTTCAGACGACACGGGTCCCATGGATACGATGCATTGCTCTTTGGTTGTTTGCATGGTGGGGACCAACCAAGTGCGTGTGCGTGGTAGTGTTCTTGTGCCCGCAGTCAGGTTATCTCGCAGTCAATAGCGAAGACCACCACCACATATCATCCAAATGCGTTGGAACCGGAGACATGTGGACCGCGATTTAGACACCATGGAACGCTTCTAGAGGGCCAGACACACACACCAGCGACCGGGCGACGTTGGTGATACGTCCTTGCCGACAGACCAGCAGTTGAGGTCTGAAAATATCTAACGCCTGTGACAACCAGGACTCGTTCTTGGCATGCCCGTCCTTTTTCAGTGAAAGGCTGGGCGGCTAACCGGGGGTATGTATGTATGTAGCATGCATACCCGCTGCCCGCTGCGAGCTTGGTGAGTCCGGATACCACATGTTCCTAGATGGCGATAAGGGAGGCCACAGATTTTGACAGTCACCGTAAGGGTAAGGCGTGTACTCGGTCTACTTGCCCACGAAGAAGAACATGTAAACAGTCTCCACCCGCCGTTCTCCTGGTTGGTGGCTTTTTCACACCGACGTGGTAGAAATCCATCCTACATGGACGAAACTAACAGTTTGTTTGACGCAAGCGCAAGAAACCGTCAAGCAGAGCCACTGGTTTCCACCCCCCGTGGCGGCGAAGGCCGCCGCGGCGAGTGGTGTTCACGGCGATGCTATGGTTGAAGTGCAGCGGACAAGCGTACCAAGGAGATTGCTTTCGTTCCTGAGGGACGCGTGATAGAGCCTCCCTCTCGGTGAAACTATGGTTGGCGCACGCGGGGTTGGCGAGGAACGAGGATCCGTCGAAATCCAAGTTGGGCACCGTCCGTACAACACTATTATTTCGTTGCTCTGCTATCACGGACTCATTTTCTGTGGAAGGGGTGGATTTGTTGTGTTATTGGCGAGAAAAATACAAAGAGCGTGGTTTCTCGCGCGTGAGATGATCACCTGCCGGGCGTACCGTAGGCTGCGACGGAAGATACCGTACCCCCTGGACCGGTTTTCAGAGCTTGATTACTCCGCACGACGAAGCGGGGGAGCGAAAACGATATGATGCGTTTTCGACATTCCGTCGGCGAGTCGATCATCGCCGCCATTTTCGGCACCGTCACAATTTTTGCTGCACGAGAAGTCGAGCTCTGAGAATCGGTCCCGGGGGTGTGGTATCTTACGCAAATCTATTGTACCATGGACGGCGATGGTGTATGAATGGCGCTATTACAGCACCCGAGATTCCCCTCACCCACTGCCGTACACTCTTCCTGACGCGACAAATCGATTGCAGTAGGCAAGTCTCCGAGGCTCATCCGCTGTGTTGCCTCCTCCTCTTTCGGCACGTAGCCTCTGCGCGGCTACCGTTGTTTTGGCGGGGCATAGGCTCTGTCATGCCTCCCACTTCCCCACCTCCCGCGCGCGAGAGAGGAAGCAATCTACAGTACTTGCTCTTTCTGGCGGCTCGCCCGTTGCACGTCAACGGGGGATCCACGTAGACCTACCTGGCTGTCCACTAATAGGTCGGCGTGCGTCGTTTCCTCCGGGGGGTATAGCCCCAACAGCAGTGACTGCTTTGAAGTAGATTCTTAGCGGGTGCACCTGTTCTTATATGGCCAAGTCCCGAAGTTTGTCTTACTTTGAGCGTATGGGTTTTGTTACTACTCCCAGGTTGTTCTTCAGGGGCGGCGCGTGTGTTTAGTGCCGTAGTACCGAGCACCACTATACATGAGTTCTTTATGCTTTGTCTCCCTCGTTCTTTTGTCTCTCTCGCGGGAGGGGAAAGGGAGCGGGCGTCAGTTGTGGCCGGGAGAACCCCCGGTGTGTTGCTGTTTCGCGTATCTGTAGACCTGGCGCTGCACGTCGCCTGTGTGTGTGTGCGAAAGCGAGGCAGCAGAGCGGTGTAGGGTGTCGCGTTGGCCGTTCAGCGTGCTGTATTCACACTCACTGAGCTCGGCCCGGGCGACACGTCATTGCTGCGGTGTCATGTACTAAAGGCCCTCACTTTTGTCTGGAAAGCCAACCATCCCCCAGGCGAGCGCTCGGTGTGCGTTTGTGCTTCCCAGGTATTTGTTAGCAACGACCTCGCTAGCCGGCTGGCCAATGAAAAGGCGCCGGTCTTGCTGCGGGATAAAAACACACGAACACGCTTCCTAAATAGACTATCTTGTAGGGTTCTGCCGACAGTTGGCGCGCAGGCGTCATGTGTGTGTGTGTGTGTTTCATAGAATCAACCGCGCTAACGGACTGACCAATGAAATACGTCGTGTCTGCGGGTACTAAATGAACGTCTTCACGAAGGGGCCAGAATTCGAAGAACAGCCGCCGCCCGGGATGACAACGTATATTTGTCCGATCTACACTACCAAATACACCAACGTTTCACGCAAGCTGGTCGCCCGGGCCTAAGAAGCTGCTGGTACAAAGCGCGCGGAGGGCTGCAAAAATTACTAGATTTCAAGCCCTTGCTGAAAGACAGCAGTGGTCGAATTAAAATCAAACTCGTAGAGTTTTCATTTTTTTTCCGTCACTTTGTGTGCCACCCCGCTCGGTCCCACGCGGCAAGAGCGTCCGGGAGATTTCCTCGCAGTTTCACGTTCTTGATCATCACCCACCCAACCATTTTTTTGTTCTCGTCAACCTGTGTGCCAAGCCGCTCGATCCGACGCGGCCGGGCCTGTTTTAGGGTTCCGCAGTTTGGCGTTTTCTTGACCATCACCCACAAAACCAAACTCGTAAACTCGAGTTTTTGTTGTCGTCGCTTTTGTGTCCCAACCCGCTCGGCCGCGGGGGTATCCGGGGGGGGTTTCCATAGTCTTACGCTATTGACCATTACCCACACAACCGTTTTTTTTTGTCACGTTGTGTCCCAAACCGCTCTGTCCCACGCGGCAGGGGCGAGGACCCGGACATGCCGCCCCAGCTCGCCAAGCTCGGGGAGAATTTGGAGCTCCGGAGAGCTAGGCGTGTGCAGTCAAGGTGGGGAGAAAGGCGTCCAATATTTTCGTTTTTCGAACGCTTCGGCTTGGTCAAGTGTGTGCGATCAAGGTGGAGGAAAGGCGTCCAGTTTTGTTTTTCTTAGTTTGCGTCTTACCGAATAAGAACGTGGAGTTAAGGTGAGCAAAAAGGCGTCCAATTTAAGTACATGTATTTTTGGTACACGAGGGCTTGTTTGAGTCACCCCCCCCCCGTGAATAGCCAGGAAAAGACGGTAGCTGTACCGTGGCATAAGACGTGGGTTGAAACGGCAGGAAGTGATATCGATAGGATAGATACGCTAGGGAAAAACATTTGTGAGCCACCTTTCGGTAAAGTAGGAAGGAACGATTGGCCGTCGGTGATCGGTCCTGTGGGAATAACAACGCTCCGTCCTCTCGAGGACGCGTGGTCGGTCAATGGTCTAACCACTAAGGAATGCAAAACATAGGAGTACTTCCCTCCCCCCACTCCCACCCCCAACCCCCCCTTTGGTCCATTTGTCACAGCCGAGTGCGGCCAGAATCGATCCGGCTGTTCGACGCGTCGACGTCGCATTCGCACTTTGTAGGGATGCAAGGTCAATGGTCTAACGACTACGGCATGCACGACTATGAGTACCCCCCCCCCCCCCCCCCCCCTTGCCCTGT